TTGATTTCCAGTGGTGCGTACCTGGTTGATTTCCAGTGGTGAGTACCTGGTTGATTTCCAGTGGTGCGTACCTGGTTGATTTCCAGTGGTGAGTACCTGGTTGATTTCCAGTGGTGCGTACCTGGTTGATTTCCAGTGGTGCGTACCTGGTTGATTTCCAGTGGTGAGTACCTGGTTGATTTCCAGTGGTGCGTACCTGGTTGATTTCCAGTGGTGCGTACCTGGTTGATTTCCAGTGGTGCGTACCTGGTTGATTTCCAGTGGTGCGTACCTGGTTGATTTCCAGTGGTGCGTACCTGGTTGATTTCCAGTGGTGCGTACCTGGTTGATTTCCAGTGGTGCGTACCTGGTTGATTTCCAGTGGTGCGTACCTGGTTGATTTCCAGTGGTGCGTACCTGGTTGATTTCCAGTGGTGCGTACCTGGTTGATTTCCAGTGGTGCGTACCTGGTTGATTTCCAGTGGTGAGTACCTGGTTGATTTCCAGTGGTGCGTACCTGGTTGATTTCCAGTGGTGAGTACCTGGTTGATTTCCAGTGGTGCGTACCTGGTTGATTTCCAGTGGTGCGTACCTGGTTGATTTCCAGTGGTGAGTACCTGGTTGATTTCCAGTGGTGCGTACCTGGTTGATTTCCAGTGGTGCGTACCTGGTTGATTTCCAGTGGTGCGTACCTGGTTGCTTTCCAGTGGTGCGTACCTGGTTGATTTCCAGTGGTGCGTACCTGGTTGATTTCCAGTGGTGAGTACCTGGTTGATTTCCAGTGGTGCGTACCTGGTTGATTTCCAGTGGTGCGTACCTGGTTGATTTCCAGTGGTGCGTACCTGGTTGCTTTCCAGTGGTGCGTACCTGGTTGATTTCCAGTGGTGCGTACCTGGTTGATTTCCAGTGGTGCGTACCTGGTTGATTTCCAGTGGTGCGTACCTGGTTGATTTCCAGTGGTGCGTACCTGGTTGATTTCCAGTGGTGCGTACCTGGTTGATTTCCAGTGGTGCGTACCTGGTTGATTTCCAGTGGTGCGTACCTGGTTGCTTTCCAGTGGTGCGTACCTGGTTGATTTCCAGTGGTGCGTACCTGGTTGCTTTCCAGTGGTGCGTACCTGGTTGATTTCCAGTGGTGCGTACCTGGTTGATTTCCAGTGGTGCGTACCTGGTTGATTTCCAGTGGTGCGTACCTGGTTGATTTCCAGTGGTGCGTACCTGGTTGATTTCCAGTGGTGCGTACCTGGTTGCTTTCCAGTGGTGCGTACCTGGTTGATTTCCAGTGGTGCGTACCTGGTTGATTTCCAGTGGTGCGTACCTGGTTGATTTCCAGTGGTGCGTACCTGGTTGCTTTCCAGTGGTGCGTACCTGGTTGATTTCCAGTGGTGCGTACCTGGTTGATTTCCAGTGGTGCGTACCTGGTTGATTTCCAGTGGTGCGTACCTGGTTGCTTTCCAGTGGTGCGTACCTGGTTGATTTCCAGTGGTGCGTACCTGGTTGATTTCCAGTGGTGCGTACCTGGTTGATTTCCAGTGGTGCGTACCTGGTTGCTTTCCAGTGGTGCGTACCTGGTTGATTTCCAGTGGTGCGTACCTGGTTGCTTTCCAGTGGTGCGTACCTGGTTGATTTCCAGTGGTGCGTACCTGGTTGCTTTCCAGTGGTGCGTACCTGGTTGATTTCCAGTGGTGAGTAGCTCGTGAGTAGCTCGCGAGCCGGCAGCTGCTGGTGATGGATCTCATCCATGGCTCACCACTGCTCAGAGTAGCACAACAGATGGGTGCCTTTTGAGGCGCCTCAAAAGACAGCTGCTGGTGATGGATCTCATCCATGGCTCACCACTGCTCAGAGTAGCACAACAGATGGGTGCCTTTTGAGGCGCCTCAAAAGACAGCTGCTGGTGATGGATCTCATCCATGGCTCACCACTGCTCAGAGTAGCACAACAGATGGGTGCCAAGGCGGATGGATTGCCTCGAGGATCAAGAGGTGAGTGGGAGTGCTGTGGGTGGTGAGATTGGTGTGAGTGGTGTGTGATTGGCTATCCTCCCTTACCTCCTCCTGCTGGTGATGAACCGCTTCCCTGGACTCATTACTATATGTCCCCTCCACCCTTCCCCCCCCGCCCACACCCTTCCTTCCCCACCCTTTTGCTCAAATATCCTGCAGGTCAATATTCCGTTCCCTCGGGGAGGCATACGGCCTCATGATCCTCCGCGATGGCTTTTTTCAAGCTGACCCGCACCCTGGAAACATTCTCATCCGCCCGGACAAAAAGGTCGCTCTCCTTGACTACGGGCAGACGAAACAAATCTCCCAGCAGCACCGGCTGCAGCTCGCCGAGCTGATCCTGGCCATCGGTGACGGCGACGCGAGGAAGATCGGACGGCTGTACAACGAGATGGGGTTCGAGCTGAGTAAGACAGCCGAGGAGAATCCGGAAAGTTTTAAATGGATGGCGACACTCATGTTTGACACGCGGTCGGCGAAAGGCGCCACGACATCGAACCCGTTTTCGGAGGAGCATGCGGCGCAGAACAACGGCGTGAAAAAGTTTCCCGAGGATTTGTTTTTTGTAGTGCGGTCGATGCAGCTGCTGAGGGGGATCTGCATGGGCATGGGGTTGAATGAGTCTCTTGCGGAGCAATGGCGCCCGATTGCACGGCAGGCTATCCGGGATGCGCAGAGACAGAGGCAGAGGTAGTAAAGGACAGTGATTAGTAGCGTACTGACTCTCTGTGGTGCGGAGCGGACGATGCAGCAGCTGCTGAGAGGGATCTGCATGGGCATGGGGTTGAATGAGTCTCTTGCGGAGCAGTGGCGGCCAATTGCACGGCAGGCGATTAGGGAGGCTCAGAGGCAGAGGTAGAGGCAGAGGCAGAGGCAGAGGCAGTAAAGGAAGGTGATTAGTAGCGCGCTCTGTGGTGCGGAACATGCAGCTGTTGAGGGGGATTTGCATGGGCATGGGGTTGAATGAGTCCCTTGCGGAGCAATGACGGTTGATCGCACGGCAGGCGAACCCGGGAGCGCAGATGCAGAGGCAGCAGCAGAGTCAGTGGGGAAGCAAATGGTGTTTGACCTGTGCCTGAAGTTTTCTTTGCAGAGAACTCCTCAATGTGTGTTTGGAGACACCTGGAGCTCCAAGCATGCTTCAACACAGCCTGTCATAACATATGGGCCGTGTTGAACAATGCTCGGAGTTCATCTTTAATTGTAGGTTGTGTGTGATGTGACTGCAAGCTTGTGTTATATGAGATAAATGCTCACTGAAGTATATACTCATCTTACAGGCCCTAAATTTGAATACCGTAATTCATTAAGGGTACGGCTGAGTCAAATTGTTACATCTTCGTTCGCCATCGTGTTTCGCAACCGGCCAAGCAGAGGATAGCATCGTTGACCACGTCGTGAAACCTTTGTTTCGCCACCAGCCCTCTCTGTTTGCGTCGCTGTCACGAAGGCGATTCGTCACATCATGAAGACAACCCCGACTTCAAAATCCGTCCAATCACCTCTCGCATCTGCAAAATTGCGCCAATTTTGAACACATTTGCCAGCATTTGGGCAAGCAATTCCACCACATCCCTTCCCCAAAAACGTTTTTCCTTCTCCAATGTTCCGAAAACTAGCGCTCTACTCTACTCCACATACTCTGCTTTCCCCCCCAACCCAACCTCTTGAGGACTTGGCGCCATTGGTCCGATAACGCGGTCCCCACACAGGAGGCTCACGACCTTCTAGATCTGAAATGGTCCTCCCGACTATGTCGCCACCTAGGCTAACACCTAGGTTCTTAACTACCGCGGATCCATGCAGCCCCAGCTTACCTGCCTATCACACCGTACGACTGTCAAACCGTCGCCGCCTAGGCTGGTTCCCATCATTCGACATCGTTTCGGCGCCAGGTAAGTCGGTTTTCCTCCTCGGTCTGCTTCCGCTGCTCACCTTGACCAACTCGATCTCCTTCGGTTACTCTGCGCCGACATGCAGGGATCAAGTCGTGACTACTCTGGTTCAAAACCCGTCCTATCTTAGCTTCCTACGCGTCCCCCCTCCCAGCCTTGCCTCTCGCCACTCAGATCTTTACTCTCGCAGGTTTCTCCGTTCAACGACCCGGCAGATCTGGCTCGCCTTTCTGCGCTCCGACCTTCTTTATTCGCGCTGCAAACGAGGCGCGGCGTTCACGTCGCGCTGTCGCCTAGGGTCTTTCCAGCGCTGTTGGTCGCACCCTGCGGTTCCCGCGCCGCCGCCATCGGATAACCCCCCCCTTCCGCCAGGCTCGCGCTTCGCCTTCCAGCTGCCTTTTCGCGAGTTGGGTATAGACTCGTCGTGCTTCCGCAATGTCAACACCTCACCTTCGGCCTTTTTCTATTTTTGGCAGCAGTGGCAACCGCAGGCCTGTCTACGATACCTCATCTCCGCATCTTCCCAGGCAAGCGTTACCGCACACCCCTCTGCCCTTCGCAGTCGATTTTCCCGTCCGCGCTTTGCTAAGCGTCAAGGTCCATTGTTTTCCCGCTCTTTCCACAACTTCGTCCTCTCTTTCGCTCCAATGCTCCCCACCTTGCCTCGTCACCCCTTCCTATGTGTATTCACTTCGGACTCGGGCTGCCGCTTAGGCTCCCAGTCTTTCCCTGACTCGGGTTGCCACTTACGCTCCCAGTCTCCCCCTGACACGGGTTGCCACTTACGCTCCCAGTCTCCCCCTGACTCGGGTTGCCACTTACGCTCCCAGTCTCCCCCTGACTCGGGTTGCCACTTACGCTCCCAGTCCTTCTTCGTGACTCGCTGCGGCCAACGCCGATGCATTCACACGCTCGCTCTTGTTACTGCCTGCGCATCTCCTCACGACTCTGGAGGCCCCTCTGGCCCCCTGTCAGCCCCCTCGGACCACCTCGGACTCACTTCTCGCAATCACTTGCCCTCCCTCCCGTGCCTCTCGGCCCCTTGTAACGACTTGTTCCTTGCGCCTGCTTGCCTAAAACGCTATCTCGCACGCCTCTCCCGCCCCCTCGTTCCATTTCCGATGTCGCAGGCTGAGGCTACTTTTCCGCTCATACCCTCTCCTTCCCCCTCCCCCTCGAAGGCTACGATGGTACCTTTGTTTGACTCACCCCTCCCTGCCGGGATGTGTGATTTCCCCCCCCCAAATGCCCCATCTCCCCTCCCTGCACTCGACGCCCAGGCCGTGAAAACCCCTTTGGCAGGCCTTCCTTTCCACCTTCACCCAGGCTCCCTTCCTCCCCCAGCATCAGACACTGCTGCAGCTTTGGACACACCCCTCACCCCCTCTTCTCAATACCTTCCCCCCTCCTCTCCTCTCGTTCTCGTGCCACTTTTCGGCATGACGCCTCACCTTCCTCCCCCCCTGGCTCTGCCTCTTCCCCCTATGCTGCCTCCCTCTGGTGGCATCATCCTTGACTTCCCCCGCTTTACCCCGCCTGCGTACCGCCACCCTACCCCCCCGGATCAGCCCCCCCTAATGCTCCCCAGGCATCCCCCCTGGCCCTCATATGATTTTGTCCCTCTGCTGTTCCTGCCCCCGCTGTACCCTCCTTTGTGGCAGCACAGAGAGGGTCCCCGCCCTTCAAGCGAGACTCCAGAGAGTCGTACTCTTTCCTTTTTTTGGCCTCCCTCAGGCTTGCTGTTTAACATGTTTGTAACTGCTTACATAGGTCTCTACTCTTTTTCTTCCAACAACAATTACTGTATATATGCTTATCATCTTCGTTGTGCCCTTGGTCATCAAACAATTTCGCCCCCTATTCGAGAGTGTTTTGGCCCGTGGATCCGTGCACCCTCGTGCGCGGTGGGCTCCCACTTTGCAGCATGTTAACGTCCCTACGAATTCTCTGCTTTAATATCAACGGTATCAATACTCCAGCAAAAAGAAATGCTCTGAAACAACGGCTTTCTGAACTCACTTTTCGAACAGACATCCTCATTTTAGTGGATACACGGCTCTCTCGCAACCTTCCTAAACTATCCCTCCAACTCCGCCCGCATTCTTCAGCGCACACACCCACCCTACACGCACTTGACAAAAACGGCAGACCCTGTCCGCAACCAGGTGGTGTCTCTATCCTCTCTTTCAACAGAGCAGTTTCTCTAACCTCCCCGTCCCCCTCACCCGATGGCCACCTCCTCTCTGTACACATTAACTTCCTACATGAGCAATTGCGCCTCGTCGCTATCTATGCCCCGCAACCCGCCACTGATCGCCGCATTTGGTGGAGAACCATTCTTACACCGGCACTAGAACAACCCACCGCGGCTGCAGCTACAATCCTCGTCGGCGACTTTAACTCGGTGGTATACCCCGTAGACCGTAATCGCCCCCTGCTCGGCCATGAAATTAGCGAGGCCACCATGTTCTCCACCCTCATGACGACACACTCACTTTCTGACGCATACCGCTCACTCCACCCCTCAAGTCCTGTTTTTTCGTACTTTGGTCGTAGAGGCATGACCACCTCCACTAAGGTCTCTGACCACTCTTTCGCTCCATTCTGCTCCCTTATTTTCAACAACCCGGCCATGGCGCCGCGGCCATGGCGTTTTAGCTCATCCCTCCTTCACCGTCCCCAAGTCGCTGCCATCATTGATACTCATATCTCCTCCCTGCCCTCACGCCTCTTCCCTGAGGCATGGGACTCTTGGAAACTATCCCTCACCCTTAGTCTCAAACGGTTCTCGAACCATGAGCGTCGTCGGGTTACCGGCACAATTGATCACCTTGTGCAGCTTATTAGCTGTCTCCAGCTTCAATCTGCCCTTTCCCCATTGGACCTTGAGGCAGCCGCTCAACTCCTCAAAGCCCGCCAGCAACTCACAAAATACGAGACCTCTAAGATCGCTGAGCTCGCTCTCAAGGCAAAGCTCAAAGTCGAGGGCCATAGGGAGATGGGGATTTCTTCCCTTCTGGCAGGCCTCAATTCCCGCATTAAAGACTCTTTAATCACCTCTCTTACGCTACAAGACGGTCAGACCACCTCTGACCTTCGAGCCATGACCGCGGAATGCACTAGATTCTTCCAGTCTCTCTACTGCGGAGCAACCCCGGGAGTGTCAAACCCCTCGTTCTGGACACATATTCCCCCCTCTTCACTACCTCCCAAACTCTCCAACCACCTACAAGCCCCCTTTACACTCTTGGAAATTAGCAAAGCCATTGGGCAACTTTCTAGAGGCAAAACCCCTGGCCCTGATGGCCTTCCGGGCGAGCTTTTCCGACATCACAAGACCCGTTTTGCTCCTGCTTTCCAGTCACTCCTCTCTTCACCCCCAATTTCTGCAGCCCTCCCCCCGTCAATGCTCTCCGGCCGCACCGTCCTAATCCCTAAAAGAGGTGACTCGTCCCTGGTTGAGAACCTTCGGCCCATCACCCTTATGAACTCGGACTATAAGGTGCTGGCAATTTGTCTCGCCAATCGGATGCAACTTGTACTCCCTACGATAATCCATCCCTCCCATACCGCTTTTATAAAAAATAGGAAAATTGGCGATACGATTAACGATACCCTCGATATTTTCGACTGGAGTACTTCCACCCGGTCCCCCCTTCTTGCTCTAACTGTCGACTTCCGCAAGGCTTATGATATGGTCGACCGTGCCTTCCTATTCCGAGCGCTCGCCGTTCTGGGATTTCCTGAGCAGTTTATCGCTTGGGTCCGCCTCATGCACACTAACACCTCCACTTGCATCTCTGTCAACAACCTTAATGGGCCTTCCTTCCCCGTTCGTACAGGGGTCCGACAAGGATGCCCTCTCGCCCCCCTTCTTTTTGTCTGTGTCATCGAAATCCTTCAGCGCTACCTATCCCTCTTCCTCCCGGGGTTCCCCCTCTCCGCGACGCAACGCCGACTTATGGCATGCTACGCTGACGATGTCACTATTTTTCTCTCATCTGTCAGAGAGCTCGGGAACTTTCTCTCCTCGGGGTGCATCCGATTGGCGAGTGGTCGGGAACTTTCTCTCCTCTTCTAGATTCAAGGAACACGGCCTTGGGGTACGCCTCATCCCCAACCGCCTCCTGTACAACTCTATTCGTCACGGTGGGCTCGGGGCAATTGCACCCTCCACTCAAATTCGCGCCCTTGCCGCCCAGCGTGCGTTGCGCCGTTTTGGTGTTTCACCGTCTGAGGAGGTGGCGAGAACCGCCGCCTGCCTTCCTTTCGGCACCCATTGTTTTCTAGCACACCCCGCCATCCTCCAATCGGGTATTCTTCCAGCGGACACTCCGAGCCGATCGCTTGCTGAACTTCAGGCACTGATTGACATTTCTCCGGGCATTTCCCCCCCTCGACTTAACCCAATGTGCATAATGGCCGAACCCACCGCATTCAACCGATTCATTCTTAAACCAAATGGGAAGCCATTTGGAATTCTTTCGCGTGAACGTTTCCTCCTATCCTCGCAAGTTCGTGTCGGCAATTTGGTATCACTCACTTTTTACTCACTTGGTCTGGTCTCTTTCAAGGATTTCATATCCTCGTGCCCCCCCGCCAACACCTCCTCTGGACGAAGAGTCTGGCGGGAACTTATCCGTGCCATCCCCAAAACCTGGTGGGTGGCTCTTCGCTCCCCCCCTCCCCCTATTGCAGCCCCTGGGGAGTGGTTCCTCCCCACGCAAGATGCTGACTCTTCCCCTACACTCGCTCTCCAGGTTACCTCATTTTCCCCTCCATTTTCTCTCTGTGCCACCCTCCACCGTGTCCTCCCTAACCGGCTCATTGTCCGTTCATCCATCGGAGCTGGTACCTTCCACATAGGTGTCCTCACTGCGGTCTACGTCGTCGGATCCTGGCTTGCAGGTCCGTACTATACATGTGCAGGTCTCGGCGCGCGGCTCGACATCTTACAAGACGGGCACCCCAGTGTAGCTGACCTTCGCCGTCGTCTCTACACCCAGCTGCCCTTTGACCATGACGTTCGTTGGATCCGCGCCCTCCCCTCTCCTCCTCCTCTCATCCCGAACTACTCTCATGATTTTTTACGAGAACAACCCAGCCTACAACGCGACATCCTGTACCGGTTCTACACTCGTGCTCTTCCCTCGGGTTCTCGTTTCCCTTTTGCTGCTGATCGAGGGACATGCTTACTCTGTCCTTCTGCTCCCACTGAGACTATCTCCCACATCTTCTACGAGTGCGGGGTGGCTCCTGCGGTGATCTCCGCCCTCTCATCTGTCGCTCGCCGCCACCTCCACTGCTCTCCTCCTCCTGAGCTCTTACTCTTTCCGCTCGCCTCGAGGGCTGGCCAGGTGGCTCCCTGGAGCCTTCTAGTAGGTGCCTCCGCGAAGGCTGTTTGGAGTGCGCGCTGTGATCATAAATTCCACGACTCACCCTCCTCCCGGTTCGATACTCTCCAACTCATCCTGGCACAATTCTGTCAAATGTTGGACATTGATATGATAGGCTGTAGTGAGTTGCACTCTAGGGGGTACAGCTTCTAGGGTTGCTCATTTGTACCCCATTCGTTCCTATTCCAAGACATTCCGTTGCTAACCACTCTTGAGATGGTATCACGAGCAGGACCGTTCCTAGCCCGTTTCTAGCCTAGTGTGCACCCTCCGCGCCCTCCGCGCCTAGCTCGCGCCCTCCGCGCCCTCCGCGCCCTCCGCGCTTAGCTCGCACCTCCGCACCCTTTGTGCCTCCGCGCCTAAACCGCGCCACTGCACCCTCCGCGCCTAGCCCGCGCCCTGCCCCTAGCCCGCGCGACGCCCGTAGGCTCTGCCCCAGCCCGTCGCGGCGCCCGTGCGCCCTGCCCCTAGCCAGCGCGTAGCCCGTAGGCGCTGCCCCAGCTCGTCGCGGCGCCCCTGCGCCCTGCCCCTAGCCAGCGCGTAGCCCGGAGGCTCTGCCCCGGCCCGTCGCGACGCCCGTGCGCCCTGCCCCTAGCCCGCGCGTAGCCCGTGCGCCCTGCCCGTTGCCCACGCGCGGCCCGTACGCCCTGCCCCTCGCCCTCCGCGCCTAGCCCGTCGCCCACGCCCCAGCCCTAGACCGTCGCCCACGCCCCAGCCCTTGCTCGTCGCCCATTTCCCACCGTCGCGCCCTCCCCCCGCCCTTTCCCACCGTCAAAACAGCCCTCCCTGCCCATTCCCACCGTCAAACCGCCCTCCCCGCCCATTCCCACCGTCAAAACCGCCCTCCCGCCCATTCCCACCGTCAAAACCGCCCTCCCGCCCGTTCCCACCGTCAAAACCGCCCTCCCGCCCATTCCCACCATCAAAACCGCCCTCCCCGCCCATTCCCACCGTCACAACCGCCCTCCCCGCCCATTTCCACCGTCGCAAACTCCCCCCCCGCCCCTCTCTTCCTGTTACCCACCCTTGGCACGCGCCCTAGCCCCGCCACCGCCTTGTGCGCGGGGCCCTCCCCAGCTCTACTGACACTGGTCTATCACCCAGCGGCTGGCAGCCGCTCTCTCTCGCCGCCCGCCTAAGTTCGAGCCGTTTAGCCGCTAGTATCGCGCCCCTAGCCGTTGTAGCTGGAGATCCTCCGTTTCACGCCCAACCTAGGTCACTCAGTGCTCCTAGCCTCTCACTCCGCCGTTCTCCCTCCTGGCGCTCCGTAGGTTTCCTCCTCGTTCTTAGCTCAGCCTCCGCCGTGCTCCAGCCGCCTCTAGCATGACATCCGTTATGGAGTCGCGTCGCC